CAGTAGGGTTGCTCTTTTTCTGTTGTCTGCCAGTAATTTGCCTAACAAAAGTTCTAATATATGCACATGGCTCTGCAGTGATATATATTCTTCTTACATTGTCATTTGTCAGTATTATGATGATCCTCAAGTTTTAGTAAAAATTAAAAATACACTATTGTGGCTGGTGGCTACTAATCTTCTCTGTACTTGCTGTCTTCTCTGTACTCCTCTTCTACTACTACTCTCCTCTACTCCACTCTACTCCTCTCCTCTCCTAAGCAGCTATTGCTTTTTTTTTGCTACTTCTACTACTTTCCTACTACTACTGTCTACTACTTCTGATTGTCCGATCTGCTTATCAGGTTCAGAAGATATTAAGCATATGATGTTCATGTGTGATCGAGCAAAGTCAGTATGGCAGCTGTTGCTTTTTCTGGGAAGCAGCACCTGCTTTTTTTTGCCAAATCTCCCCTCTCCTCTATTTGTTGCCACCTTTCCTATCATCTATGTTTTGGAAGCAGCACCTGCTTTTTTTTGCCAAATCTCCCCTCTCCTCTCCTCTCCTTTGTTTTGCCGATGATGAAATTGTCCAAGTCCATGCATTATATGGAATATGAGCTGATGATCAAGAACTTGTGAGGAACTTGGCATCATTAGCAGCCGCCCCTACATTACCTTCTCCTCTCTTCTCTGTTATGGTGCCTTGATGCTCCAAGTTCATGATCAAATGATGATTGACATGTTTCTGAGGCCTCTACTACTGCTACTACTCGTTTTTTGATATATTGTTGTTTTATAGGACTACTTTGGTTTATAGACCTTTTTTATTTCTTATACCTTGTCGCGTACCTAAAGCACACTTTCTTGCATCTATTAGAACAAAGCGCGAAATAATGTCGCGGACACCAGACAGTGCAGCCCGATGCCTCGAGCATGATGAGCAACCAACCTATGAGGAGCAAGCACTAGAGGACCAACTTACTCAGGAACAGTTCGATAACGAGGTAGAAAAGGATCTAGAAGTGATGCTTACTCAGTAGCAGTGTGACGAGGAGGAAGGGGGAGTAGGAGAGGCTGCTGAAGGCGAAGAAGAAGAGGATGATGATGATGATGACTCAGAAGAGGGATATGAAAGTCCCGATGATCCTTTCCCACGTGAAGCCAGAAGGAGGCCAACGGAGGAAGATTTGGACAAGGATTTTGACCTGAACGAGGAGGTAGGGAAAAAGCCTTAGCTTGTAAATTTTGCTAAAACTTTGGCTGTGTTACCTCTGCTAACACTTTAACCTGTCGTATATATAGGTCCCTCCTAAAACTCGGAAAAGACGACGTCGACGTCCACGACATCTCGCTAGACAAGACGGAGTAGAGGAAAGGAGAGCAGAGGCAACAGCCACAGAGATAGATCACGATGCCTCTGCTCCACAACCTCAAGACACAACCACGATTACCAAGCCTAAGAGGAAACGAGGGGATAGAAAAGGAAATCTATATCCAGATAAGGCATGCTATGTGATAACGGAGGTCAGGCCAGCAGGAGAGATCCTTGAGCCGAAGGAATTAAGAGGACGATTCCGTAATGCGATTGGGGCCCTAGTAAGAGATAAATTCAACCCAGCAATCCCTAACTGAAAAGATTTACCAGAGAACACAAAGAATGCACTATGGGATAGGCAGCTGAAGCTCAATTTTAGATTTCCGGAGGGTAAGCACGAACTGATAAAAAATGCTTTCAGGATGACGGGATAGTCATTCCGACATTGGAGGTCGGAGCTCAACACGAAGTATATCCAAAAGGGGTTAACTCCCTTCAACGAGTTCGGCAAAATAACTCCTAGTCAATGGGAGGAGCTCGTGGCTCAGAAGACTTCACCGGAGGCATTGGAGCTCAGTGCTCGTAACACCGAACTGGCGAAGAGGAACAAACACCACCATCATCTAGGCCCCGGTGGCTACTATGCCAAGGAAGAGCAGTTTAGGAAGATGGACGAAGAGGCTGCAGCTGTTGGGAATATCGATGTGACAAATTTGAAGGTACGCTCAAGGAACTAGATATATGCGAGGTGTACAGAATCATCCGGCGGTAATCTTAAGTTTGATAAGCCAGAGACCCAAGAGGCAGTATCAAGGATACTGAAATATGCTGAAGATAAGGAGAAGGGCTCATTCAATCCTTCCAGAGAGAGGGACGAGCTTAGCCTTGGCTTGGGAAACAAGGAGCACACAGGCCGCACCAGGGGGCTAGGGAAAAGGACGACCTGGAAGCAAGGATTCGAAGAGGACAGGCACATGTACAAGAAACATAGCAGAGACCGGGAGACTAGTCTTGAGCTCCAAGTGAAGGCTCTAGTTGCGAAGGCGCTGAAGGAGCAAGGACTATCTATGGAGCCACGGATATTAGTGACGCCACTGGGAGAACTGGCATTAGTTGGCAGCCCTTCGAAAGTTCCTAGCAGCCAAGGTTCCACTGCAGCCACAACCCCCATCGATCGCATACGGGAACCAACTAGTTGCACCTTAGTGTTTCTCAGTGGCCGGCAGAACACTGTGACGGAGGTGGCAACGGGTGTGGCACATCCTCCCGGTCGAGGTGCATACAGTGAAGCCCGAGTTCATGCAGTGGAGGATAGACTACGCAACTCCCGAGGGGCTGGTGTTACTCGAAGACGTTATGGGGCAGTTCATCCTCTGGCACAAACGGGACATTATATTGACTGCTTCTTCGCCACCTCCCCCTCTCCCAAATTTGGAGCGAGTTGTTGAGGTCGGGGAGATATTTTCACCGTCTCGTGACCCCCACATTCCTGAGATGCCACATTCTTCCTCGCCTCCTAGCGAGCATGTGCCTGATGAGATGCCACAACCTTCTCCAGCTCGTACCAAGCAAGTGCATCATGAGATACCATAGTCTTCTCAACAAGCACAGCCGATACATGAACAATGAGTGCCTCCTGAAGAAGGTGATGCACAAGAAGATGAGGACGTGCCTGAATGGGAACTTCGAAAGAAGCATCCAATCATCATAAGGCCAGTTTATGTTCCGATCAAAGACGTCTCGTCGGTGTCCAAGTGGTTTTTCCATGACCAGTTCAAGCCTGAGAACTAAGTTAAAAAAGTCCTATCACGGGGTTCTGAGGAGGCCGTCACTAGCAAACTCCACCAAATTGCAAAGCAGTATCCAAATGTTGATGCCATCAAATGGTCAAAGAATTGCCCGAAAACATATGAAAGAGGCAAGCCCTTCCTACCAAACTGGGACATCCAGCGTCTACCACTTGGAATGAGAAGATTCCATGATTGGTACTTGCATGTTCTCCCAACGAGCATAGATCTCATACAAGCATGCTTCCCCACCGGCACATTTGGAAGCCCAGCCGGAAAAATTGTCTTTGACTTCAATGACATGCACACATGCTTTCACCTGGGAGAAATGGAGATGAATCTAATTCGCATGTGGTGCCTGTAAGTTCTTGTCCTCCCGATATGATATGAATGTAATCTTTGAATTTTGTTGTAACTAACCCACGCCGTGATTTGTAGAATGCAAGTGCACATTATCAAATAAATGCCAAGTGTGAAAGCCAGGTATGTAGACCCTCAAGCTATTGCCCAAATAAATTTTAATTACCATAAACGGTGGACACTGGATGCCAAAGAGCTAGCTGCTGCAAAGACTCTTCGGGAGAAAGAGCGTATCCGTACGGCGAAACTAAGGGAAGAGTCCCTTAAGGTTGCGGCATACATTGCCCTGGCTTTCAAAAATCTCCAACAACACTCTACTATATGGCTACCATACAACTTCGAGTAAGTTCAACTCTATAATTAAAGCTTTGTTCGATATATTTTATTCGATGCAAAAGAGCTTATCTAGTTCTATGATTAAATTCATGCAGCAACTGCTGGATTTATATAGCCGTCGATGTCGGGAGGAGCATGGCATGGGTCTTTGATTCATTAGATAGGGACACGGTGACATACAAAGACTTTATATCGATTCTCAAGACGTATATATATCGACAATCCTCATTAGCTTATATGTTTGTATACATACTTGTAACGTTCACTTTTGGATACTAACAAGTTGTATTTGCTAAAATAATTCGAACAAAGCATTTAAGTTCTATGTCACTAATCATCATGGAAGGCATGATCCAGCAAGGAAGGAAAAGCTGGCTATAAAAACACTATGTGCGGTAAGTGTAACTTACTTCTTCAGTACTCCGTTACATGGCTGTCAAAAGCATTACTTAATATTTTCATATGCAAAACACACAGTGCCCCAAGCAGAAGCCTGAGAGTGTACATTGTGGATACTATATATGTTCTATAATGAGTAACACCGGTGCCTACAGAAGACACCCCTTAAGGGTAAGTTTGAACCTCTTTACCCGTAGTATAAAAACTTCGTACATGGTATGAAATACTAAACTGAAACTTGTTCTCTTGTAGTGGAGAGAAGAGAAAGGAATGAAAAGAGACCCATACAAGGATGACCAACTCTTAGAGCTCATCGGCGACCTTTACAACTTCATATTGGACCAGATTGTACACGTCAGAGGCGCCTACCATGACCGAGAGTCTGAGTTAGGTACAAATCCTCAGTTCCAACACCTTCATGAGACTGAAAGGCTAGCTCTAGGACGTTGATAACAATGTATATGGAATTTGTATATTTAATGATGAATTGTATATATTCTTGTGAATTGGACTTCTAATTGTAGTTTATAGAATACTCTTGTGCTTGTAGTCGCGGTCGCGGGGCGTTCGGCAACGCGAACACGGTTCAGACGCGATTTTGAATTATAAATTTGAATTTTTTTTTTGTGGGAAAACGTACTTTAGGGGCGGTTCTAGATTGAACCGCCCCTACAAATCGATTTGTAGGGGTGGCCTACAAATGCATGATTTGTAGAGACGGTTCGGTAGGGGCGGCTGGCCAAACCGCTCCTACAAATGGTTACGAGCCACCCCTAAAAATCGATTCTGTAGTAGTGGATGACCGTACATCCCCTGGGCACCGCGTAGCCGCCGATCTCGACTCCGTCCTCCACGGCCTTGTGCGGCAGCATCACGGGCGCCACCGGGTGGAGCCGCATGGCCTCCTTCACGATGGCCTGGAGGTACGGCAGGCCCGCCACGTCGTCCTCGTCGATGGCTTCCTTCTTGTCGCCGACGGCGCCCTTGATCTCGGCGCATAGTTTGGCCATGATACCGGGTTGCGGAGTAGCTCGGCCATCGCCTAATCCACGGTGAGCGCCATGGTGTCGCTCGCGGCGGTGAACACGTCGAACAGGACCAAAGTTAGGTTATCGCGAGTGATATTGCCCGTGGACTTGAGCTCCACGAGGACATTGAGCAAGTCGCCGTGCCGTCATCGTCGCCGTTGGACGTGGAGGAAGCCTCGGCCAACCGGCGATCAATGATGTCGTCCAAGACCCGGAAAATCTTACTGAGGTGCCCGGCCACCCAACGCCGCCATCCCTGGAGGTCGAGCGGCCTGAGGAAGGGGAAGAAGTGGGACACGTTAGGCTTGGCGATGCACTCGATGAGCTCCTCCACGAGCTCCTGCAACCCATGGGCCGACTCAGCGCCCACGTCGACGACGTCGATGAGAACAGCGAGCTCGACACGAGGTTGATGACGCCGCCGTACTCGGCCTCCTTGACGTCCACCTCCCGCCCGGCGCGTCCGCGGAGGTACGCCACCAGGTCCTGCATCTTGCGCTCCCGGACGGCGCGCGTCGCCGCGAGGCTGCGCGGCGAGAAGACGTGCAAGGCCACGATGCCGCGCAGGGTCCGCCAGAGAGGGTCAGAGCTCGGGAGCCAGATCATGGACCGGTTGCAGAAGTTGAGGGCGCGCTTGCCGTCCGGGACGGCGCGCGCCGCGAGGCAAGGCCTCCCTGGCGGCGTCGCGGGAAGGAGATGACCACGGCCGGGACGAGGCCCAGGTCGAGGCGCATGCGCATGACGGGGGCGCCGTGCGCGCGGGCTAGGCGCGCTAGCGTGTGGGGGAGGTTGCCCTCGCGCAGGTCCAGGAGGTTGCCGATGAGCGGGAGAGGGCTGGGGCCCGACGGGCGCCGCCGTCCGGAGCGCGAGCCCCAGCGGCGGCGTTGGTTGGTCATCAGGTAGTAGAGGAGGAGCGAGACGGCGGCGAGCGTCGCCCATAGCCACCAGAGCTCGCGCGCCGCCATCGCTCTGTCCACTCGGGCTAGCTGTGTGTGTGCGCGCATGTGCATCTGCTATCTGACTACTCTATATATGGCCTACGTACGTGCGTACCCATCGTCACTGTATCTCTAGATGGACCAAAGTTGCAGAAGATGCCGTAGCAATAGCATTTTCCTCCACTTGAAGTTCTGTTGTTAGTGACGATTGACAACTGACGAGCTTGTTTCCAAACTCCGCCACCACCAGCTTGTTCGTGACTCAATAGCAGATCAAGTAGCCCAAATCCTCCTAGTCCCGGGTCATGGCCACTAACTATCCTGCTGCAATAATGCTAGCTAACACTACCGGAAACCGGTAATTTGCCGAGTGCCGGAGGCTTTGCCGAGTGTATTTTATCGGACACTCGGCAAAGATGGTCTTTGCCGAGTGCCAAATAAAATACACTCGGCAAAAAAAACACTCGACAAAATGCGTCTTTTTGAGTGTTTTTTGATTCGGCAAAGATGTATTTTGCCGAAAGTGCTATTTTTCGACACACGGCAAAATGCGTCCATTGAGAGAATCGGCAAAGATGTAAGACAGAAGCAAAATGCGTCTGCAAAGATGTATTTTGGCAAGGTAAAGAGGCATTTTGCCGTGTGTATTTGTTTGCCCTCGGCAGATTAGTTTTTCAAAGCAATTTTTGAGGCCCTAAATGAATTCAAATGAAAAACTTTTCATCTACAAAGTTGTATAACTTCTCAAGATCTACAAAGTTTATTTTGGTCATTTCTTCATTTGACAAAGCGACAATAACGTTGTTCATAAAATCTACATATATCTCATATCTCTCATATTAGTTTCATAAAAGTAGAAGAGAGATATATAAGATTTTTGAACAATGTTACTACCACTATGTCGGATGAACAAATGACCAAAATAAACTTTGTAGATCTTGAGAAGTTATGAAATTTTGTAGTCGACAACATTTTGATTTGAAATCATCTTGTCATGCAAAAACGACGTTTGAATTTGAAAATTTTAAATTTTGAATTTTTCAAAAGACCACGGATGGAAAAACTTTCTAAATGAAAATTGTAGATCTCCAAAAGTTATGAAACTATGTAGTTGACAACTTTTTGATTTGAAATCATCTTATCATGCAAAATTACGTTTGAATCTCTCAAATTTAAAATTTGAATTTTTCAAACGACCTCGGATGGAAAAACTTCCTAAATGAAAATTGTACATCTCGAAAAGTTATGAAACTTTGTAGTTGACCACTTTTTGATTTGAATTCGTTTAGGTCCTCAAACAAGCAATTTACTCTCGGTTTAGTATAATATATGAGGATAGATAACGGAATCTAGACACAACTGATAGTGTAGTGCAGTGGTAGAACAGTAGACACGCGAGGGAGAGGTCGTGAGTTCGAATCCTGCCGGCCGCGTTAGCCGTGAATTTTGCACAAAAAATGCAGCGACTTCGATGGAAGCGGGCGCGCGCTGGCCGGTGGCGGCCTCCCCCGAAAAAAAATTCGGGTTTTTTTGCTATTATTTTCGGGTTTTTTTCACATTTTTATTTTGCCGAGTGTAAATCTTTGCCGAGTGCTTTTTCGGCACTCGGCGAAGTCTTTGCCGAGTGTCCGACAAAAAACACTCGGCAAAGTCTGTTTGCCGACTAAAATTCGCCGAGTGTCGTTTGCCGAGTGTCGACACTCGGCTTGGCACTCGGCAAACCTCCTGATTCCCGTAGTGTAAGAAGAATCCCAATATTGTGGCTGATTCCACCCAGTAGTGGCCATTGCATCCAAAAAGCCAGAAGAAATATCTGCTAGCGAACAAGGAAGCAGAAGCAAAACATCGTGGCATTGTTTGGTAAAGCTCCAGCTCTGCCTCCATCGAGAAGCTATCTTTCTCTCTTCTCTTAAAAACAGTAAAGCTATTATTTTTGGTTTTATTGGCTTGGACTCGTAGCAAGAAACTTAAGCCATTTGAAGTCATGTCAAAAAGGGTCTAAAATATCATAAACGATACTCCTCGCTCCCCAAACAAAGCAGACGGATTACGGCACAGGCCACAGCTCATATCCCGACAGCCAAGCGAGGTAAGTACCTTGTCATGAAACGCCTAGGGTTCTCTAGCGAGATGCCGCCTCCGTCGACGTCGGCGATGACGTACAATGAGGTCTTCAATGGCAACCCAAATCATATGCAGGCGTTGCGTGAGTTGTTCGCTCCGGTTAGCGACGTAGGCCCGACGTAAGCGGCGCCGCCGTCCGGCAGCTAGGGCATAGGCCTCCTTGCTAGCGTCGCAAATTTGGGTCGATATCTATCCAATGTAACAATCTAGTTTGCAGTACATTAGAGAGGGTGTGAGCTTCCTTGTAAATCCTTAATGACCCTCTAGGGCGCTCGGAGGCGTGTTGTATTGAATTTTTTTCTATACCTTGATATAAAAACGCGTAAACCTTTTGCGTGATCGAAGAAAAAAAAACACCCACGGTTTACGATAACAACACTAATAACAAGGCACAACATTTGTTAGTGGGTTTCAAGCTCATCCTCAAAGCTGGCCAACCAGCACGCACGGTTTGATTGCCACCACCCTCTGTCCGACCTGGGGCTCCTTCGTTGCATACCACAAGTCATCTCATGGTCAGAATATGTTCTCTCTTGTGTGTTTATATGGATGGCCCTAAAGTTATACTTTTGTTTAGTTTCAAAATATAAGGAGTTTTGTGACTTTTAGGACAAATTATAAGAAGAGAAGGAAAAAGTGGATGCCCCTGGAAAGGGCCCACCAAATGATTGGCTCAAATTCCGGAGTCCACCTCGGCTACCATGGGCCTTAAATTCACCTCCAGTCTTGTTAAAAGCTGTTATATTTTTGAGAAAAAAAGATGTAAACGCTACAGGTTTGATGGATGTAGAATCCGACTCAAAAACTACCTTAGTTCTAGTACAACTCAAGTCTAATTTTGTTAACTAAACTTTTTTTTGAGACGATTTTGTTAACTAAACTTTGTACACTTACATTGAACACTTAATTGTAGATAACTGTAGGTTGCCTACGAATGCTACTGATCCATTATTGGGCCTGGCAGGCCGAGGTAAGGGAAAGGGAGGAGATGTTTATGGGCTGATCTGGGCCAATGCTACGAGGGAGAAGAGGGCAGGAAATGGGCTGCCGGGGGCGTTCGGCCTGGAGGAAAAGAGAGACGAAAGAAAGGGCCCTTGGGCAAGACTTAAGATAGGGTGGGATTTTGGCCCAATCATTAATTTGGATAGAATATTGTTAGAGGATTTTTTTTTTGCGGGGATTCGAGGAATTTTTCAAAGATACAAATTGATAGACTCCTAGTGTTTATAGAAAAAAAAACAGTGACATCTACAACAATAAATTAATTTCATTAAATCATTTATTATCTTAATAGTACATTCATTTGAGCTTGTAAGTGTCAATAATTTTTTGAAGAAAATAATTTAACATAAGATAAAGCTAAAGTATCTTATAATAATATGGATATAGTCGGTATATAATTTGGTCACCCGTTCTAACTACTCCCTCTGTCCCTAAATATATATGGTTTTCGCTTTCCGAAAAACAACTTTAACTAAATATATATTAAAAATATTAATATTTATAATGCATAATTAGTATTATTGAAAAGATCTTTGAATCTAGTTTTTTAATAAATTTATTTGGAAATACAAATGTTGCACGTATTTTCTTCAGATGTCCAAATGGCTAGCATTTTGGATCATGAAGATTCTTTTTTTTTGTGAGGATTGAATCATGAGTTAGAGCATCTTCACCCAATATAGCTTAGCCCTTGTTTAGTTCACGAAATTTGGATTTTGGGGCTACTGTAGCACCTTTGTTTTTATTTGGCAAATAGTGTTCAAACATGGTATAATTAGGCTCAAAACGTTCGTCTCGCAATTTCCCACCAAACTGTGCAATTAGTTTTTCTTTTCGTCTACATTTAATGCTCCATGCACGGACCGCAAACATTCGATGTGACAGGTACTGTAACAACTTTTTGGAAGTTGGGGTGGAACTAAACAATCGTTATTCAATTTCCTATAATTTTATAAGAGACCTTTTCTTTGGTAAAGAAGCTAGTCTTTGTTTTTTCTGAGAGGAAAATATTGTTATACAAAGGGACCAACCCCTCCCCGAAAACGTAGCATTAAGGGATAGAGTATAGTATATCTCTTATATCTATAATTTTTATAAGAGATATTTTAAAAGAAGCATCATTTCTCCTATACAAAGGAGACAACCCCTCCCCTATCCCTAAATAAGGTGATATGTCATTGTTAATCTCCTAGATCCTAATTAATTTTAATAAGGCACACTCCTCTAAAACAATTTTATGGGAGATGCATATTAATAGATCAGACGAAGATGTTCTTTTGCATGCTTTGTCTACACGAAAGCAAAATATTAAGGTACCAAAGGACGCCGACGAAGAATCCATCCAGTACAATGAGGAACAAACGCCCAAGCAGGCAAAAATTAGTAGCCTATTCGTTTCGACTTATTCACTCGTATCGACTTATAATTCACGACTTGAATAGTGTTTTCTCTTACACCAAATCAGCCAGCAGTACTTTTAGCCATGCCTTATAAGCTAATTCAGCTGAAACGAACAGGCTGTAGAGTGGGATTAGAAGAGCACAAGAAGGCATGTGAATGCGTGCCCGGACGGCGGTCGACCGGCGGAGTGCTTAGCCCATACGGCAAAGAGTTCATCACCGGGCAGACTATCCCAACTCCATCCAGAAGAAGGTAGGTAGGCAGATGAGATTCCGTTATGCGCTGCAAAACGTGCAAGAGCAAGGCACCTGCACATGGCTGACCATCCATCCCTCTGCCCGTGCACCATGTCCACCCATCTCATGCTGTACGGTGGCCACAGAGGCACAGACCACGGGACGTGCGTGACAGCCTGAGATCGGAGGATCCGACACCGAGAGCCGGAGACCCATCTCCAGCGGTGAACCGTGAACCAGGTCCGTGGAGTTCACAGTTTCACACGCCGCGCGGTGGCTCCCACCCGATCCGCGCCCTCCCAAGTCCCGATCAGCGGCGGATAGGCCCCACTTGGCAGTGTTTCTTTGGTTGGCGCCAAGACAAGTCGCCGTCGACCTCGCCCGCCTCCTTATTTAGACGAGACGACACCCCCCACCCGACCCGACCCGATCGGCGGGAGAGAGCACGAGCACGAGACGCCACCGACCAGGGAATCTCGGCACCGTCGCGTCTCCCTCTTTCTCTCTCGCTCAAAAGTTGCTGGAGCCCTCTTCTCTCTCTCCGTCCGACCCCCAACCATGGATGAGGCGCAAGGTACGTCTCTCTCTCTCTCTCTCTCTCTCTTATCGTGCGATTGATGATACACTGGTAGCAGTAACCGATTCGGTGGTGGCCGGTACACGATCTGCGGCCGCGGCAGCTTCGATTGCTCCTCCTGCCCCGCACCCTCTCCCTGCCTCGAATTCCAGCTCTGTTCTCGGTTCTGTTTTGGTCGGGGGAGCAGGATGTGGTAGTGGTGGGGGTTGATTGAGGCATCGGCGCATGCCATTTCATCTCCCTCGAGCAGGGCTCTGTTCCGGGCCTTCTCGATCCTGTTCCAGGGCATAAATCCCCGTCGGTTACTACTTCAATGTTGACGGAGTAGAATCGAATCCTAGCGAGGCGTTCTAGCCTCGATTTTTATCATGTTACTATAATCTTTCTTATGAAAATGCACACTAGTTGATTACTCGTTGCTTTTGCTACTACGAATCTCGTCGGGTGAGACTGAAACGCTAGTGGGTGGGATATCAAGTGATTCCATTGCTCCATATTGGGCAGGGTTGTTGCAACTCTGTTGCCTACTTGCCAGGGTCAATTTGCTTGCCCCTTTTCCCCTCAGATTCCAATCAGACTGTGCATCACAAACTTGAATTTTGCCGTTAAAAGGTTGGTGGATGCACACGCATGTGCTGAGGCATCGATGTTGTGTTATTATTGTAGCTTTTGAGATACAGATCCACGTGCCAGATGCGTTCCTATGCTTTTCTAGTTTTGTTGTGCTGTTTCCTGACCTGTCACTTTGGAAGGTCCGTCAGTCTGTACTCTGTTTGTTGCTCCACTGAAAAATACATACATCATCAGGCATGTCATCCTGGAACAAATTTTTTCTTTCTCTAAACTACAGCAAGTAGACAGACCATAGCGGATGCTACTATCAATCTTGTCTCTCATGCCCGCTCATTCCAAATATGCCCTGCCACCAGGGCACATGCCAAATACATATATAGGCATCAAATGACAAGAAACAGTACTACCTAATGAAACAAGAATGTGCTGTTTGGCTCCACAAGTAAAATTCTGCACTGGTCATGCAGACAGAGGACCAGCCTTCTTCTAGGACATTCTGGTATCTGACAGAAAATTGACTCTTTAGAAGTGGGGAAGTGATTGAGTGTTTGCCATGAATGAATTGATGTGTGAAATGCTTAACTGAGGATCTTTTGTCTTGAAATTGAGCCAAAGTATATGTTTCATTTGAATGTACAAGTCACAACTGATGCCATGAACTAAATTGAAATTTATGTCTGCTTCAAAAGGAACCTACATTGTTTTTCGCAGCTACATCTTTTCTTGCCTGCCAACCTGATTTCTTTGTGGTTGGATACAAGTTTCAGGACAAGGAAATTTGCTAAAATTTGTCGCTTAATATTAGTTGTATAATCAACATTAACAGCATGGTTTCTTCTGATAAACCATGACCTGAATGTATGTGCTTTTCTACTGCATGCAGTTGTGGAGTCAAAGGATGGAACCATCTCAGTTGCTTCTGCATTTGCTGGTCATCAGGAAGGTGAGAACATTGCTGTGGTAATAATTATTTTTGTAATTCCCTTGTAGTGGCACAGCTTTACATACTGACAGAAGGTTAACATTGGCCTTGATCTATGATCTCTACGGTCACAGTTTCGACATTTGGTAAAATTTGCTTTTATGTAACGACAGCAAGAAAACTGACCCAAGACATGCATTTTGGTGAATTTTGCAGCTGTGCAAGACAGGGATCACAAATTTTTGACAAAAGCAGTGGAAGAAGCATATCGTGGAGTCGATTGCGGTGACGGAGGTCCATTTGGAGCAGTTGTCGTCTGTAACGATGAAGTAGTAGTTAGCTGCCATAACATGGTTCTGAAGCACACTGACCCTACTGCACATGCTGAAGTAACTGCAATTAGAGAGGTAAATTACTTGAAGGCTACCATTAGCAGTTGCTCTCAGTAAAATTTTCATTACTTTGATCTGTTTCTGCAATCTTTCTGGCAGTTAATTCCATTCTTTGCTATGTGTTTGATGGTCGCTGTATGTCCATATTTTAGGCTTGCAAAAAGCTTGGGAAAATTGAGCTCTCTGACTGCGAAATTTACGCGTCCTGCGAGCCATGCCCAATGTGCTTCGGTGCAGTTCATCTGTCCCGAATCAAGGTTCGTACTTTTATTACTGTTTTGATTGCCTAAACTGATTGGCACAGGGAGACATTACTGAGTATTGTCTAACATTCCTACTCGTCCTGCAACGCAGAGGCTGGTTTATGGGGCCAAGGCAGAGGCTGCCATCGCCATTGGATTCGACGACTTCATTGCAGATGCTCTGAGAGGCACTGGGTTCTACCAGAAGGCCAACATGGAGATCAAGAAGGCGGACGGCAACGGCGCGCTGATCGCTGAGCAGGTCTTTGAAAAGACTAAGGAGAAGTTCCGGATGTACTGATGCTTAGCAGAAGAGGGATTTCAGATTTGTACAATGCTCACTCAGAAGGACAAGGAATAATACAGTTGCCCAAATGTCCATTGTTTCGGAAAAATATCTCGATTCCAATGTTTAACATTCTGATGATGATGCCTGGATTTCCTGTAAACATACACAAGATTGTTCTTTGCTGTAACTTAATGTGCAGTTAATGGAATTTACTTTCTCCATTTCTGATGGTGCCTTTTAGCACATTAAATAAATTCGAGTACGAGGTCCCTTTTCTGACGTTTCATTTGGGCGCCATTGTAGATTGAGAATGATGTCTGAACTCAGAAGCTTCCACTTACAGGTTTACCTGATTCATGCATTTTGTTCGGCATAAAGTCAGCCTGTTCGCTGGTTGGTTTCAGCCAGCCCAAACCAGCCAGCTAACAGTGTTTTCCTCTCACAAAAAAACCAGCAACAGCCAGCCCAAACCAGCACCAGCACCAACCAGCGAACAGGCCCAGTGTCAACAAACTACTACTGCTGTAAAATCTTGGGAGGCTACATGTCCTTAACATATTGTACATGTAAATTCTTTTTCATTTCTCCTTTTCTTGCACAAGCTTTCTGTTTCAATAAATTTTAACATGTTGTACATGCAGGTAGTACAAGTGTGGTACATGTCCTTGAGGTTTTGTTCAGTATGGGAATACAGTTTGTCAATATCTGCGTGAGTGTGTGTGTGAAAGGTTGTTGCTTGTTAGGGACTGCATGCGTATGTCACCATTTTCATTTTTAACACGGTACGTACGTCACGCTCCTCAGATGAGCTAGTATAGTATCCCAGGCAAATATTAACACAAGCAGCGTTTGCACGAGACAGCGACTGACGGATCTCGGATCTCCAATTCATCATCACCGCTCCTTCCATTCACCGGCAGCGCCACACGATCGACTCCTTCCCTTCGTCTCCCCCTCTGCTTCTCCAGTTCTCCTTGCTCCTGAAATAAAAAAAGAAAAAAGAAAAAAAGTTCTCCTTGCTCCTGCCAGGCCCAGGCTGCCATCCATGGAGGCGCCTAAAGGTATGTTGTGTTGGCCCACAGGATCATCGGCTCATATGAGTGAACCACTCACCAATCTTACCGAGCATCCGTTAGTGTTGTCGAGCACCCACTAACCGTGTCGACCACGAACAAGCGTTGTCCGTCCCCACACACTATGGCTGGAGCTAGAAGAAGAAGGGAGAACAGAGCAAGCACGCACAATACCAGACACCAGCGTTGGCCGAAGCCATGTCTGTGATATGGCAAATCTGAACTCTCTTTACTGAGTTGCCGTGGTAGTCTATTTATACAACTCTATCCATCTAGTCCTAGTACAGCGCATATGCTGTAACAGTAACAAGATAACATACAGGACTGACTCTGCGCCGGTCACTGCATATGCCTACAGTGCTGCAGGTGTGCCGTGCGGCCCCTGCACCTGCAGCGGCTACAGTATCACAGCAGGGGGCCTTTTCGGCACCACCTTCCCTTGCTGTGTTCACATAAGATAGCAGTAGATTAGCTAACAATCTTTTCATAATCCTACTGCTAACCCTTGTATCTCATCCATGCCAATCATTTCCTTCAGCTCCGTGAGTCGAAGTCATCCAAGCGGTTTGGTGAGGACGTCCGCGAGTTGCCGACCAGTTTCGACGAACTCGATGACGATCTGCCCTCCATCGACACAGGCCCTGAGGAAGTGGAACTTCACGTCGATGTGTTTACTCCGGTCGTGCAGAACCGGATTCTTCGCGAGGGCGATGACGGGCTGATTGTCCACCATCAGTGCGGGTGGGTGAGCTTCCACGCCGGTCAGCTCGCCCAGCAGCCGGCGTAGCCACACAACTTGGCACGCCACTGTGACCGCCGCTACGTACTCTGTCTCGCACGTAGATAGCGCCACCATCTTCTGCTTCAGCGACAGCCATGAAATTAGGGCCGGCCCGAGGAAGACGAGCACGCCAGAGGTGCTCCGTAGCCCGTCGATGTCCCCCGCCATGTCTGCATCGCTGAAGACAGTGAGTTGTAGCCTACTCTCGCCGGTCTTTGGGAAGATGATCTCATGATCTACCGTTCTCTTGACGTAGCGCAATAGCCGCTTCACCGTAGCCCAGTGATCATCTCTGGGATCCTCCATGAAGCGACTGACGTAGCCCACGGCGAACACAATGCCCCGCCTCGTGTAGACTAGGTAACGCAGACCGCCGACGATGCTCTGGTAGAGTGTTGCATCCACCTTCGCTGCGGTGCTGGCTTTCGCCAACTTCAGCCGCTCCTCCATCGGAGTCACGCATGGCTTGCACTCAGCCATGCCACTCCTCTCCAACAGCTTGGAGGCATACGCGCTCTGGCCGAGTGTGAGTTCCTCCTTCCCCTGTTTTACCTCGATGCCGAGGTAGTAGGAGAGTGAGCCGAGATCGCTTATTCGAAAATGAGCTGCCATCTCGCGCTTGAAGCTGTTGAAATCCTCCATGCGCGCGCCCGTTACGATTAAGTCATCCACATACACGCCGACGACGAGCTCCTCCTTCCCCCGTCGCCGCGTGTAGAGCGCGTGTTCGGTTGCGCACCGTTGAAACCCAAGCTCGCCCAACGTGGCGTCAAGCTTGGCGTTCCATGCTCGTGGGGCTTGCCATAGCCCATAGAGCATCTTGCGCAGTCGGAGCACCCTGTGCTCCTCTCCCTTGACGGTGAAACCTGAAGGTTGCCTAACGAAGACCGTTTTCGCCAGCTCGCCGTTGAGAAAGGCCGATTTAACGTCCAGGTGATGGACGCGCCAGTCCTTTGCTGCTGCCAAAGCAAGTAGCAAATGGACCGACTCCATGCGCGCTACTGGCACAAAGACCTCCTCGAAGTCGATGCCCTCGTGTTGAACAAAGCCTCGGGCAACGAGGCGCGCATTGTGCTTGACAATGGCACCGAACTCGTCCCGCTTGACTTTGTACACCCACTTCAGGCTGATCGGACGACATCCTAGAGGTGGATCGATGAGCTGCCAAGTCTCATTTATCTCGATCGCCTTCATCTCCTCCAGCATCGCCAGTCACCAGTTCTATCGCGCTCGGCTAGCACGAACATGGGTGGTTCCTCTGTACTGACGAGTAGTAGCTCTGCGTCGTTGAGCAGCCTGCCCGCTAGACCTGAGGGACCTGTGCCGCCGACGATGTTGTCCAGCCTACGGAACCGCACCTCCTCACCTTCATGGAAGGCGTCCACGAACTCAGTGATGTCACCGGGAGGTGAGGCGAACTCGATCAGCGTCGATGGAGTTCTCTGTTCCGCCGGAGTGCTTGGCACAGCACCTGGAGTGCTCGGCACTACTTCTGGACAGCTTGTCATAACTTCTGCAGTGTTTGGCCACACTGTAGGAGTGCCTAGCCTCAGTCTTGGAGTGGTTGGCACCACTGCAAGACGTCTTGACTCCGCCACGGGAGTGCTCGGCACCCGTCCTGGAGTGGTCACCACCACCGTAGAACCTCTCGGCGCCACTCCAGGCGTGCTCGGCATCCCTCTAGAAGTGCTCAGCACTGCCCCAGGAATGCTCGGCACTGCCCTAGGAGTGCTCGGCACTCCTTCCGGAGTGCTCGGCACCTCTTCCCCAGCGTCTCCACCACAGTGGATGACCAAGTGCTCGATGATGAAGGTGTTGGTGAAGCTGCCAGCTCCCCCCATATTCGGACTACTCCAATCCTAAGCCGCCTTCTCGTCGAACACGACGTCGCACGAGACGAGCACCTTGTCTCCGCGTGGGTCGTAGAGCCGGTACGCCTTGGTACCCTCAGCGTATCCTAGGAACACCATGGGTGTGCTCCTGTCCTCCAGCTTGATGAGGTTCGGCTTCGTCTTTCTGACGTGGCCGATGCAGCCAAATATCCAGAGGAAGGACACGCTCGGCTTACGCCCATACCAAGCTTCGAACGGCGTCTTGCCCGTCAGAGCCTTGGTCGGAGCACGGTTGAGGATGAACACCGCCGTGGTCACCGCCTCCCCACAGAACCTTACCGACATGTCTTTGGCCTTCATCATGGATTGGGCCATGCCGACCACCGTCTGGTTCCGTCGCTCCACCACGCCATTCTGTTGTGGCGAGTACGTGTGGTGTGGTGTTGCCCCACACCCTGATCCGCGCAGTACGCAGCAAACTCCACCGAAGTGAATTCACCACCACGATCAGTCCTCTGCACGCGGAGCTTCTTGCCGCTCTCGGCCTCCGCACGCGTCTTGAACTTCTTGATCGCCGCCGCCGCTTCGTCCTTGCTCGTCAGGAGTTGCAGCCACATGTAGCAACTGCAATCGTCCATGAGTAGGAGAAAGTACCGCCGACCACCGTGTGTAGCAGGCGTGATCGACCCGCAGAGGTCACCGTGGACGAGCTCGAGAGCGTCCTTCGCGCGATACTTGGCCGCCTTTGGGAATGGTAGCCTCCTCTGCTTCCCGGCCAGGCAGCTATCACACAGCTCGCCTCCGTGCTTGATGTGGGGTAGCCCTCAGACCATCTTCTCCAGCCGACCAAGCGCGTCGAAGCTGAGATGTCCGAACCGGGCATGCCACATCCACGGTTCCTCGGAGTGCCTTGCCTCCAGGCACAACGGCTACTCTACCTTCAGGTCGAGCAGGTACAACCTGTTCCGGGACCTCTTCACCTTAGCAAGAAGTCGCTGCTCCCGGTCCCTGATCCTAAGGACGCCGTCCTTGATCAGTACCTCGCTACCGCGCTCATCCAGCTGACCAATGCTGATGATGCTGGAACGCAGCTGCGGGATGTAATATACATCCGTTAGCGCGTGGTGCTCCCCATTCTGGCACCTGAAGATAATGGTGTCGCACCCTTGAATAGCCGCCCTTGAGCCATCACCAAACTTCACCGTACCGGTAACATCGCCGTTGAGCTCGGAGAAGGATGCCTTGGAGCCCGTCATGTGGTTGCTGGCACCAGAGTCCAGATACCACCGCTACTCCTGGTCGACGCCCACACATCCGAGGTGGACTTAGGCGCGTGGTTCGTCAAGGTTGACAATTTTCAGGGCCTTGCCAGGTCCTTCCACTAACATCACCTCTTCCTTCTCCTCGGCCTCGACGTCGTGCAGTGCACAGAACGTCGCCATCAGGATAGTGGCCCCATCCTCATCATCGTCTCGCGCTAGATGAGCCTGAGCTTTCTTTTCCTACTTGCGGTTTGGACACTCTCGTGCCCAATGGCCCATCTTCCCGCAACGCCGGCAGGTGTTGGAGTCGACCTGCTTCTTCTCTGAAGAAGCCTTGCTGCGGCGCTTGCCCTCGCCACCGCGGCTGGAGGAGGCTGCCTTCCCGAAGTTCCTCCGAGTAGCCCACTCCTCTTCCGTTAGCAGGAGTTCCCGCTATCCTTCGTTGCTATCGCCTGCTCCAGGCTCTCGTCCACCGCCCGCAAACGGCCTGTCACATCCTCAATGGTGAGGGTGGACAAGTCCAACATCGTCTCTATGGAAAGAACGATCTGGATGTACTTTGCCGGCACGGAGTGGAGATACTTGGAGACCGCCTCCTCTTCGTCGATGGTGATGTCATGGCTCTTCAGCTTGCTGGTGAGCGTTTGCAGGTGGAGGGAGAAGTCCTCTACCGTTTCACCATCCTTGAACTTGACATTGGCGTACTCCTTGAACCGACGCGCATCGCCGCAATAGCCTCCCACGCCTCCTTAGCCGAGCTCTTCGTCCCCAACGGCTCCCTGTACTCCGCCGGTACAGCAGCGTGGATAGCCTCCAACGCTGACATGTCATCTTCTTCATTATCGGTGTCCTTGTCAACTGCATTCCAGAGCCGTCGGGCTCTGAGCTTGATCTTCATGGTCACCGACCACTCTCCATAGTTGGTGCGAGTCAGCGTCAGCCAACTGGTGCCGCTGACCTCCCGCACCGTGCGAACAACGACCTTCGGTCGTGGCTTTGCAACCATAGCAGTGCCACTGTTGTTTCCCATCTTCGAACCGTCCGTCATCGCCAGCGGTTAGTCTGGCAATGACGCTTGTACGGTTCTGATACCACTTGTTGGCCCACAGAATCACCGGCTCAGGTGAGTGAGCCACTCACCAGTCTTGCCGAGCACCCACTAGTGTTGCCGAGCACCCACTAGCCGTGCCGACCACGAACAAGCGTTGTCCGTCCCCACACACTATGGCTGGAGCTAGAAGAAGAAAGAAGAACAGAGCAAGCACGCACAATACAAGACACCAGCATTGGCCGAAGCCCTATCTATGAGATGGCAAATCTGAACTCTCTTTACTGAGTTGTTGTGGTAGTCTATTTATACAACTCTATCCATCGAGTCCTAGTACAACGCACATGCTGTAACAGTAACTAGATAATATACAGGGCTGACTCTGTGTCGGCTACTGCATGTGTCTACAGTACTGCGGATCTGTACCTACAGCGGCTATAGTATCACAGCAGAGGATCTTTTCAGCGCTGTCTTCCTTTACTATGTTCACATCAAGTAAGAGTAGATTAGCTATGTACAACTGAAAGCTTTCTTCTTGGAACTGAAAGTGATGGAGGCCTCGACCTCGACTCGATCACTGCTGAAAAAGAGAGCCTCTGACTGGGATTTGGCTTTATCAGCAGCAGCAGCAGCTGGCCAAGAGCGGGATTACAGATTCATCGCGAAAGCCGTGGACGAAGCTTACCGGGCAGTCGAGTGCGGCGGCGGAAATCCGTTCGGGGCGGTCATCGCCCGTGGCGACGAGGAGGTGGTCAGCTGCCACAACTCCGTCCGCAAGGACACCGATCCGTCGGCGCAAGCCGAACTAGCCGCCATAAGAGAGGCAAAGTGCCACTGCTACTTTGCAGCTTGTTATATTATATATATAAACCCATCCTGTGATCACCTAATCTCTTGGCATTTCAGGCCTGCAATAAACTAGGGAGAATCGACCTCTCCGACTGTGAAATCTACGCGTCCTGCCAGCCATGCCCGATGTGCCTACGACTGATTCGCCTATCCAAGATAAAGGTTCGTCCGTAACACATCACTGCTGCATGGCCCCCATTGCATAGAGAGCTGAAGATGATTGTTTGTTGGCACTGTTGTTCCGTTGGTCCTGCAATTGCAGAAGGTGGTGTATGGAGCCAAGGCGCAGGTCGCTGCTGCTGCTGCTGGGTTCAGTAGCAGCATCCCAGATGCTTTCGTAGAGTACTATCAGAAGTCGGGTATAGAGATCAGGCAGGCCGAGGGCGAAGCGGCCCGGATCGCCGAGGAGGTCTTTGAGAAGACGGAGGGGAGGTTTCAGACGAAGTGATGTGCTGGAGAGGGCAAACATGGTCGATGGTTTTCGTTTCGAGAGCCAAAAGGATGGTCATGGTGCCATTTCCAAGTTTCCGTCGCCTGTGAAACTGGGCGGTCAGACGTCATATGGCTTGTTACATGAGTACAAAATATTTCTTTTTAACCGCAGCCTCCAGTTGTGCCTGCCTGTGAAATGTGCGGACTTTAGCAGGTTGGATTTGCGGACTAGCAGGTTGGATTTGCGGACTTAGCAGGTTGGATTCCTCGCGGAAATGCCCACCTGAGTTTAACTCCTGACTTGACGCGGGGTCGCCAGTAAATGGTGCACATCTCACACTGATCCTGTTTTTCTAAATTTATTTCGGGATTAGTGTTCTTTCAGAAGTTGACGACGTAAGACTCGACATTGAGAATTCTGTTTAAAGCATGTGGTGATTTCATCAATCTAAAGATCAGTGTGAGTATACATCATTTACTTGATGCAGGCATTCACATTTTTTTTGAATTTATTTCAATTTTTAATGGCAGTGTTCTTTTAGTAGTAAACAATGTGTCACTCAATAACGAGGTGGCTAACGAGTCCGTAGTGATTTCGTCAATATCCAGAATAGTATGAATGCGCATACATATTTGATGTATGAGTATCTGCATCTATAATATAATGTGATTCACAAATTAATTAAAATAATAATTAAATCCTTAACCATGCTAGATGAGCATTAACAAATCAATGTTTATTTTATTTAATATTTTTTTTGAAAAAATCACATTTCTCTGTAGGTGTTTTGGAGTGGATTGCGACGTGCAACTCCAACCATCCTGCGGTTTGATTCTTCCGGCGGGCCCCCCGATGCCGATTGCCACCTCCCAGCGGTCCGCGCCTGCGCTAGCAAGCCCGGCCCAAGACGGTCAAACCCATGGATAAAAGTATTCTAACCACTAGAATCAAGGACCAAAATCCATCTTCTAAGGGGTGTTTGGTTCTGAGAGACTAATTTTAGTCTCTCTCGGATGTTTGAACTAATTTAAATATTAAATAAATTCTAATTACAAAATATTAGAGGCACTATGAGCCTAATCGATTGCATGATTTTGTGGTGCTACTGAGTAAATATGCGCTAATGATGGATTAATTAACTTAATAGATTCGTCTCGTAAATTAGTCTCCATATGTGTAATTAGTTTTATAATTAACTCATGTTTAATCCGTGACTAAAAATTAGTCCCTCGAACCAAACACCCCCTAAGAAATTATAAATTGACTGAATTATATTAGAGGCACTGGAGTTTTGACTTAACACTTAGGCCCTGTTTGGTTGTTTTGAAATTTTATACTTCTGTAAATACAATACAGGTGTAATTTGTTGTGCACAAGAAAACACTAGGAATGGAAATGAATTTTTACAAGCCTGGAAAATGCTGTTTGGGTGAACACAGAACACAGGTAAATTTTCAGCAGAGCAAAGCATCATCACATCACGGTGGACGAACTGAAAATAATTGGAATCTACACTGACGATTGAGCGTGAGATCTGAACGCAAGAACGACGATTTCAACTCGTAACAGACTGACGCTCACCTCGTCATGCACAAGAAGCTGCAGGTTCTGCCGCTGCGGCGGGCACACTGTCGCGGTGCCGCCCACACGTCATTGCCGATGACCCGTGAAAGATTCGGTTTTTGGTAATTCAGCGATAATTTTAGGTAGACTAATATTTATTTGAGTGAGATATATAGGTAATTAGTCCACAGGTACGTCATATGTGAGCAACCAAAGCCATGGAGGTGAAATAGTTTGGATTTGTTGCAAAGCTCATATATGTGATGAAACAGCTCATTACATATGAGACATGACATGGAGTCATATGATCAAGGTGGAGAAGATCAAGATAAGACTTAGCCTCGACGGACCGGTTGCAAGTATAAACGGTAAGTTGAGTGATGACTTGGCGCCGATGGACCGACGCAACGGTGAAGAGCAAGTGAAATCAAGATCAATAAACCAATACGGTCACGTGGTGATATGAAATGGATCATATCATTTGTGATTGGTTGGTGCATGTGTTACATCAACATTGAAGGAGATAGAATGGAATGCGCAAGGAAAAGGTATAACCTGTAGGGCATTTTATTTCACTGGTCATAGGTGTGTAGAGAAGTTTATGATCGGATTTAGGATAAATGGTCGTACTATTAAGAGGGACAAACTTATTTACATATCGGTCATCTAGTGCCACTTGAGCGATCTAACTTTGCATATGTGTTAGGATCGAGTGGCGTGGTAAATTGAGTGACTAATCTTTTAAAAAATATTTATGAAAATGCTAACACACTTGCACAAGTTGTTGTACACTTGGTAGTGTTGGCACATTTACAAAGGAGAAGAAGTTGGAGTTGTTGTGGATCAACTCGGTGAAGAAAATGAGACGAAAAGAGGTCACTCGAGGTGATCGGATGCTGGCCTCGACAGGACCGGACTCTGTCGGGCACGTCTGGTCAGTGTAAGCAGAAGAGGCGCTGTCTCGGTCAAATGACCGGATGCTTGTGCCTAGAGGTGATCGTACGTGGCGCTCCTACTCCAATCGTTCTTGACGTAGGGCTGGCATGCGAGGCAGAGAAGAGCGGACGCCGCGGTGCGTCCGGTCGTACGCGAACGAACGCGTCCGATCGTCAAAATCTCTCTCGGGGTAGTCTCTAGAGTCGACCTGACTCCGCGCGGCGCATCATCAGGTCAAGGCAGAGGTGCGTCCGGTCCTTGGCTCTGTGGTGCGCGAGCAAACGCGGGTTGCGCCCGTCAGGTCGTCCTTCGGCCTGTCCAGTCATTCTTTGACCATTGGCGCGCAAAGTCGACCATTGAGATCGAGCGTCCCTGGTTGACTTTAGGCGACACGTGGTCGGCTAGGAGTGACGCAGGGCCTAGTGTGTCCGGTCATCACGACCAGCACGTCCGGTCACTGCGAGACTTGCCCAGTAAAGGGGTAACGGCTCTTTTGAGCTGTGGGGTTATAAATAGAAGTGGTGGTCGGCCTTGGGCCGGTTGCTGAGCACACTAGAGTCTTGGTGGCTTATGTGGTGGTGCTTGGGAGCCCTCTAACTCACTCATGCTTGGTAGTGTTCATCCGATCGAGTGAGTGTGCGATTCTAGTGCGATTGCATCGTGAGCTTGCATTGAGTGGCACTAGGTGATCGAGTTGCAAGCCGACGGTGCTTCTTACTCTTGGAGGTTGCCACCTCCTCGATGGCTTGGTGGCTTATGACTTCGTTGAACCACGCGAGAAGATTGTGCAGTGCTCCGGAGGAGGACTTGTGATGGAGATTGTGCTCACCCCGCGGGGATCGCGAAGAGCAACTTTAGTAGAGCATGTCATTGAGCTACCCTCACTTTTGGGGTAGGTTCTTGCGGTGCCCAACGTGCAGGCTTGGCGGGTGATGCCAATTAGCCACCGAACCACCAAGTGAGCGGTCGACACAACGGGAACTAGCTTGTTGGTAAGCACGTGAACCTCGAGATAAAATCACCGTGTCATCCTTGTCTTCTCGTTGGTTTGCATCCCCTTTACACAAGCTTGTATTTACTTTCATATACATTGTGCTTGTGTAGTTGCTCTTGTTTTTAGTTTGCTTATGTAGCTTGCTAGTTACCTTCTTGCTTGTGTAGCATAGAAGGAGCTCTCTTGCGTGACTAATTCGGTTTGAGTAACCTTATTAGTCGCATTGCTTAGTTTGTGTAACTAAGTGACTTGCGCTCTCTAATATGGCTTGTGTAGCCTTGTTATTGAGCATTGCTAGCGAGCTTAGGTGGCTTTATGCTTTTGTTTACTAGCAAGTATAGGAGCTCCCCCGTTGCTTGAAGTACTAGTGGCATAGGTTTGTGTGACCTTGCTCCTAGAGTTGGTTAGGTGAGCTCTAACTAGCCTGGTACCTTAGTTGCTTAATTAGAATCTTTATAAGGTGCTTGTGAACTTAGATAGAGGGGTATAGTCTTGGCTAGACCTTTAGTTTTAATTCCACTTTTATTTTGGTTAGCCGTCACGATTAATTTTAGAAAGAACTATTCATCCTCCCCTCTAGTCCGCCATCTCGACCCTACACGTGGTATCAGAGCTTGATCTCTCATTTGTTATCTTCACCGACCTAAGAGGATGACATCTAGTGGGCTAGATGATTGTGATACACATATTTTTATGACACAAACTTTGCACTTTAGAAAAATCGCATGCTTGATCATTTTCGTGCAAAGGGACCTAAGTTTTGGTGGATTATCACTAGTGGTCTCACTCATGTTTTGGACCATAAAAATCTAACTAAAGCTCAAAGAGTTCTCTTTAAACTTGATGCACATGTTTGTTGTTATCTAATGGATGCTTTGAGCTTTGATTTGATGAAAAAGATAAACTATATGGGAACCGCTCGTGAGATATGAGAATCAATCAAGCACACCTTGGTGATTCCTCCACATGGGATGATGGCAAGTTCAAGGAGGATGAGTCCAAGGAGAAGGTGCATGAGTGTGTTGAGCATGACCATGATTTGGTGATTATAGAAGATTACTCCACCTCATGGTCAAGTGATGATGATGATGATCGATCTACCACAAGTTCACTTGACAAGATTGATGAAGATGTCATAAGTGATGCACATGATGATTTTGCCTCAAGCACACTTGGTGATGATCTTAATGATAATGGTTCATGCTCGGGCCATGATTGTGATGCTACTACAAGCCCATCCACTACACCACATTGCTTCATGTCAGAAGGTGACACAAAGATATAAAATGCTAATGTGATTGATCATGTTGATTTATATGATGGGCTTGTTAGTAGACTTGCTAGCATGACCATATCTTTAGAAAATGAGAAAGCCAAAATATTAAAATTGAAAATTGAAAACTCATTTCTAAAGAATTCTTGTGAAGATCATAAGCACTTACTTGATGTTCTTAAATCTTCACATGATGAGCTAAAATTGACTTATGAGAAGCTTTTTGTGTCTCATGAAGAATTATTAGAA